GAAGGAGAATTTATTGAGCACGTGGCACAATTTATCTATTTGTCCCAACGTTTGGACAAGCTAACGTCTCAATTACAGTGGCACGAAACACGAGTGAAAGTTGCAACCGTGATTTTTGCTTCTTCCAGGTGAGTTATTTAAATTTCGAGAGACAGCCGTCGAGCATAGCCGCGGTGGGTATAGCGAACGGGATGATGGTATCGTGCAATAAATTGCGCTCCGGATTTGAGAATGTTGGCTCTGTGACGGGGACTTTTTATCCACCGGTCGCATCCCCGCACGATCAATCGTTGCAGCACTACACGAGCACCCAATCCTCGAAGACTGCCAACTATTCGATGCAGTCCACCGTCGAGAGCAACTATAATCCTGTTCAGTGTGCCAATCGACAACAGTCCATGGGGATTCGTGGAGCCGCTGAAGGCTGTTCTGGTAATTCTTCATTCATTCTTACGTTATTTCACGGCTTTGTTACACTTGGATCGCCTCCAGTAGTCGATCGTGCACAATTAGAGCACACGGTTACAATTTTAATTCTGTTCCGTGAAATATTACGCAATAAAGTTTATTTTTAAATATGTACTTGTGAGCGACAGTACATGTTTGGACAGGGATTGTTCACATTTTTAATTGTGTCACAGCAGAGTCATTGTTTTTAATCAGAATGCATGATTATAATTCAGAAAGCATTGAGAAAGGTGCTCGTCTTGTTTTTCTCCTGCAATTTCGCGAAAATATTCACAACACCCATAAACTATTTATATGAAACATTTTGAACATTACGTTAACACTATAATAGTCCACTACAACCTTACTATAATACAAATAATACAAATACACGCAAACGGTATAATTTCGTAAGATTTTGCCAACCTCTCGAGTAATAATAGTATTATAGTGTCACATTCTCTCGCGAAGTAGAAGCATTTAAAATTAACTGGAATTTTTATAATTTCATTTAAACTGTACAAATGCCTTTCTAAAAATATTTAGACGCGAAAGAATTTTGTAAGAATGTTTGTCTATGATAATACTGTAGCTAGAATAATTTAAACAAAAAAAA